GAATATTTATAATCAAATTGAAGTAGAAACAATTTTCAAAAATGCAATTGCAGTAAAAATACCTGAAAAATCATGAGCAGATATTTCAAACATTGTCAATAATAAATTTAATTTTTAAATCAGTAATCAAAGTACAATGTTTTTCTTAGAATATTGATAGAAAATCATTAAAAAAAAAAATAACAAAGAAAAATGATACGCACGCTGAATAAATGGCGGATGAGGTTCGATATTTTCAATTTTTAATCATACACGATAATATTATGGACGATATTGTGACGTACATTTTACTTTACGCATATTCAAACGGAATTATTAATATTTCACCGATGTCGAGCAGTAATAAAAATAACTGGATTTGGATGATCATAAGCTTGCGCGATATGACACAACTAGTTAAAATAATATTATATTCCTGACCCGTCGTCTGGTAGTGCAATATTATATAGTACTTTATATTATTATTATAAATTAACATTGATGGATAAGGGGGCTGAAGAACCCCACCCACACACACGCGCGCATATCAGATACGTGCATATTATATACCTTCTGTTTAAACCTATATGACCGTATAATAAACACATAGACTATAACATAGATTTGCAGTATAGTTCCCGGGATGTGTGTGTAAGTGTGCGTGCGTGTCTGTGTGGTGCAGTTGCAGTTATGTCTTATATTACATAGGTAGGTATTATACGAGGTATATAAATTACACTATACATATCATTACATATAGTAGCATAAATGATACATATATAATAGTATACGTATTGTTATAGAGGTTCTTGCGCAATTAGTGGATAGGGTTATACGTACATTATATACATACTATACAGATACCGTTTTTATGCCCGTCACGGACGTCACGGTTATAACAAAAATTAAACGATAAAAAATATATTTTTTTAGCGGAGAATAATTTTCTTTTACAATTTAATTGCCAGTCTATTATAATATTATGTAGTTTTGAATAGACTGTTTTTTTTTTTTTTTTTAATATTCATACAAAATAACAATATTTATTATATAGGTACAGTAAAGTCTCGGTAATCTAACCATGTGTTAATCCAACATGTCCAGTAATCTGACTACCTGTTATAATGACCAAATAGCTAATAAAATCGTAATTCGACTGACGATCCTGATAAATCGATAAAATATTTTATTTAAGAAAATTGCAAGACAAGGCGCAGATAGATTAAAGAAAAAACAAATATAAAAAATTATTGTTTTACTACAATTTATAGTAATTTCATAGAATTCAATTATTTGTTAAAACTCAAAAGTAACATAATATCTATAATTTAAACATGTAGGCAATTTAATAAATGTTTTATTACAAGTTCTGATAATCCACAACATATTATCTGTTCAAAGTCGGATTATCAAGACTATACACTACAATACCTATATTATAATTATAACMTTGAACAATACAACGTGTTGTCCATACCGCTGCAGTAGTGTATCCTGATTTTTTTTATTTGGAGAAAGAAAAGGGTATAACCCCCTTCAACCCCCTGGATACGCTACTGGTCCGTATACGACCGTGATATAATATATGTAAAGAATAATCATCCTTTCCTTGTAGTTTTTCGATTTTTTTCTTTGATATCTATTTTATCAGAGCCCCGTGTTAGACTATGTGTGTTAAAATCGCCTACCATAATAAAAGGTTCGGGTAGTTGTTAAATAATAAATTCAATGTTGACTGTGTCAAATTATTTTTTGTTATTGTGGAGATGTATTGCATTATTATAATTTATAAGTTTTTCTTGCAGGCCAATTTATATAGCCAAGATTTCTACATCAATGTGCATATTAAAAGATATTCTTAGAATAAATCATAAATTCTTTGCTAAAATTATTTTAAATTTTAACCACAGTTATTATTCTTATTAGATATATTTTCTATTTTTACAAAACCATCTAGCTATAGAATTAAAATGTATAATCTCATCTTTAGTTCTGTTCTTATTCCGTTATTTTTTGAAGTTTAATTTCGTATGTGGTTTATCTGCGTTGTATGTTCGTTGTGTAGTCATATTATTAGTATTGATTATATCCATGCGAGAATTCTGGTTCGCAGAGATATCGCTTACCTATACGTATGTGCTATGTATTTATTTGGCACAAGAGGAGATTGTCTCGTATTTTAATTTTCCCCGGGGCGTCAACATAGCTTAACGCCGCACCGTAGCTGACTAGCGATTTTTTCTGGTAAATTACACTCATTGTGAATTACCTAATTTAAATGATACTATTAAATAGGTGACATTTTTAAACTTTTTCCAAATTGTAGATTATTCCTATCGAATATTACACGAACAATTGAAAAGGTTAATATCTTAGACGAAGCTGATGTTAATTACTTATGAACGTAAATATGGTCACGACCATGAAAAAAATATTTTACCACGTACTGTAGGGCGTAAAGATTAATAATTATAGTGATTATATAATATTAAATTGTAACATTATTAATTTAATAATTGTTAAATTATACAAACACTAGTTTGTTTGTCAAAAAAACGATGAGATGTTGACATATTTTTTGTTAAGTAAATGTCGGATATGATAAGTATACGTGAATAGTTTTGCTTATTATTTTTTATAGACTTTTCAAAATATACCTACTTATTGCTTAAAAGTATTAAATATATTACATATATTGTTTAAAACTTTAAAATTACGCTTCTTTCTATGATAGTAGAGAAATATTCTGTGCACCAACCAAGTCTCCAAAAAAAATCGTGTATCTATATTTAAGAAGTTTAATAGTTTGAAAGTTTGAATTATTATTCACTAGGTACATATTATTTTTTCCAGAGATATAAATTCACTTATCTCATGATTCGTTTATAGTAACACTCTTACACATACAATATACTATAATTTGTATAAACCATTCCCTTCAGAAGGACATATATATTTTAGACTTATACATAAGAAGTCTAAATTGTTTGTAATCTATTTGTACATTTTAACCTACGCTAGTGAGTTGWAGTGACCCACTTGATAGTTTATAATTATATATGGACCATTAATATTGATATAGTCGGTGTATATTTTTATACAGACATAATACACCTGTGGATAATTTAAATCCTTCTACATTATGATGCCATTCGAATGTCAACCTGTATGTATATATACACTACAATACTACACATTATACATATATATATATATATATATATATAAATATAACACCATTATTGCGTATAAAATAACCTCA